TGTAGCCGTCATTGTTGTTTGGTGGGCCGGGCTGGATTCGAACCCACCAGCTCAAGTGTATGTGACTGGCGCCTTAGCTGCTTGAGCCACAGGCACCGAGCTGGATATTTGTTCATTTAAGAAAACCCCGGTTCGGCTTGGTGCCCGTAGCACAGTTGTTACGTCACCAGACACATACACTGGGCCTGCCAAACGACAATGACAACTGCAACAAAAAATAGCCAGGTGTTGTGGCAGGCGCCTGTAGTCTCAGCTACTTGGGAGACTAAGGCAAGAGAATCACTTAAGCCCAAGAGTTTGAGGTTGCTATGAGCTGTGACGTCATGGTACTTTACCGAGGGTGACATAGTGAAACTCTGTCTCAAAAAAAAAAAAAAGAAAAAGAAAACCCCAGCTCTCTCCTGTGCGAGGTGTTCGCACACAGCTGCCTGAGCAGACACCCCGGTGCAGGCTGCTGCTGCTTCCCCTGTAAACCTCTCTGCATTTTCTGAAAGGTTTTTCTTAGTATACCTTACTTTAAAAACTACACTCCAAACATTTTGAAATGACCCTCAGGAGGGGGCAGAGGCCTGCTTGGTTGCGCTCTCTCCGTGTTGGAGTTTTACTTCCTCCATGTGGGTAGAGAAGACAGGAGTGTCTCCCATATCACTGGGGCAGGATTGCTGCCACTGGGAAGGGAGCTGACAAGCCTTCCTGAGGACAGTAGTCCCTCTATTCTGCCCACCTTCCCACCAGCCAACGTCCTGCCCTCTCTGGGGCCACCTTGTGTGACAATGACCACACAGATGTCAAAAGGCCACCAGCAGGTGGTGGCAGGTTGAGGGGGGTATGTGCTGCTCTGGATGAGAAGGGAAATCCAGGTCTTGGAGAGCTCCAGAGAGGGTGGAGCAGCACATATCAGGATGCGGGGTTCAGCTGCTGAGAGGCCGGTGGCCCGGGCTCCACGCTGACCCTGTTTCCCTGACCTGGTTCCTGAGGGGTCTCATGTGGTGGTGTCTCTTCCGTGACCGTCTGTGTGACAGACCTTCCTCTCTCTGCCTGCAGTGCACCCCCTCTGGACAGGCCTGGTCCCTATGTCTGGAGGCTCCCAGCAATCTCCTATCAACATCCAGGGGAAGGACAGTGTCTATGACCCTCGGTTGAGGCCTCTCCAGGTGTCCTACACCCCAACATCCTGCCTGCACATCTGGAACACGGGCTACTTCTTCCAGGTGGAGTTTGACAGCACCGAGGGGTCAGGTGAGCCGGGGTGGTTTGAGGCCTTTCTGTTCTCCTGTCGAACCCAGGAGTGGGGCTATGGACTTAGTGGAGAGGTGGGCAGAGATGCTATCTGGGTACAGAGGACAGAGACCCGCTCACTGGGGGCCAGAAGGACGGAGCAAAGGTTCACAGGAGACAGGAGCATGGCACTCACTTTAAAGGTGACAGTGCCCTCACCTGCCACCTGTGTCACACAGACTTACAGAGCAAAAGTAGGCCCCTTCCCTCAAAGGTCTGTGCTCCAGGCCGGGGAACATGAAGCAGATGGGGCAGGAGCTGGGCAGGGGTGGCAGCTGTAACCCCCACGCTGGGCTGGAAGGAGGCCAGGGCCATGGCAGGGCGTCGGGAGCCTAGATCTTACTCACGGTTAGGCGACCACGGCAGGTGTGAGAAGTGACCTGGGCATGAGCACCGACTGTGGAGGGGTGGGCAGCAGGGACCGGAGAGGGGGCCGGCTTGGGGTGTAAGGCAGTGGTGGTGCTGGGAGGACAGTGGCACGGGAGGTGCCGAGAGAGGTCCCAAGAGCCTCGACACCTTTTCAAACCCTCAGCAGTGATCCTCTGGGTGTCAGGTGGCAGCTCCATCGGGACTGGGAAGCTCCTTTCTTCCCTATGTCACTCACAGTTGTCACAGAGGCGGCACCAACAGGTGCCATTGTGGCCTTGCTTGTGCTGACACCGACACGTACCAGGCATAAGGTTCCTCCATGAAGCGCCCCATTAGAACCCTGGGCACTGAGTCAGATGTGTGGCCCTGGCAGACAACATGTCACAGGTACCATCACACCTGCTGTGGGGCGATTAAGGCGTGTCCTGTGTGACCGCACTGGGGACCTGGAGTCTGGCCTGGTTGCCTCTAGGCTCTGCCCTGAGCCTTTCCCATTGCTGATGCTGCTTTGGGTCCTTTTGCTATAACAAAGCTTATCAGTGAGGGAGATGATGTGCCAGCCCTGCCAGGCCTCCCAGTGAGTCACCAGGCCCCAGGGGCCCCAGCGCAGCCCCAGCCCCTCTCTGGCCGGCCTCCACCCCAGCCCTCCACGTGCTCAGTGACCTCCCACGAAGACGTAAACTCCACCTGGCAGGTCTTTGTCTTTCTGGCTGTTTTACAGCAGGCATCACAGGCGCTCAGTAAATTGATGGAAAAATAAAAAGTTGAAGGATCAAATGAGCCTCCATTTCTTCCTGGGACTGAGTAGAGAAGGGGTGGCCTCTTCCAAGGCTGTGGGGGAAGAAGGGAGGCCACCCCAGGCCAGCACCCAGCACCATGTCTGCCAGATAAGCACCCAGTGTGGCTGCCAGTGCCTGCTTGGGCCGCTGACCCTGGGTCCACACCACCTCCCTATCACTGCAGGACGGCCAGGCGAGAACTTGCTGCCACACCTGCCTTTGCATCTGCCCCACAAGCAAGTGCCCTAAACGCACACTTGGGGCTTTCCAGGGAAGGTCTGCCCAGCGTGTCCAGCCACCAAACTCACATCTGGGGCTTTCCAGTGCTCCCAGCATTGCAGGAAGTTCTGCCCAGCATGTCCAGGCTTTCTCAGGATATCTGTGCTTTCTTTTTTACCACAAAAGACTGCACACTCCTAGAAATTCTCCAGCACCCGCACAGGGCCCTCCACCGCAGGCACTGTGAGCCCTGACCACACGTGCCCACCTTCCTGGGGCCCAGGGGGACCCGACAGCATATGGAGGCCCAGCTGGAACCTGCTCTCACCCTCAATGGATGAGTGTCAGGGCAGAGCACAGAGGGTCCTCTCCCTGTGACAGGGCCCTCACCTAGCCTGTGGCTCAGCCCTTCCAGGCGTCTCCTTCCTCATCTCAAGAGTGAAAAGCAGCCACATTTCCTGAGCAGAGGTCTGTACCCAGTCCTCCTCATGGCTGATTGTGGTCAGGCTTCACGGTAACCTTGAGAGACACATCTCACATAGGGTTTGCTGAATGCCAATGACAGAAACCCCCGGTCTGGCCAACATAAGCAAAATGGAACTTCATGGACGGAGAGAACCAGCTCAGAGAAGGGGAAGGTGGGCAAACCAGACCTTGGGCCCCAGGGGGACAAGGCCAGCCTCAGGGGTCTGGGGAGCAGCGAGTTGTTTATTTATTTATTTGTCAACCTCTTTCCTGCCCTTGTTGATCCGTTTCAAGTACAAATTCCCAAGGAACAACTGAAATTGGCTTTTCCATTTTCACGTGGTTAAATTATTTTAAAAACTCTTAGCTCGGTGCCTGTGGCTCAAGTGGCTAAGGCACCAGCCACATACACCTAAGGTGGCAGGTTCAAATCCAGCTCGGGCCTGCCAAACAACAATGATGGCTGCAACCAAAAAATGGCCGGGCATTGTGGCGGGTGCCTGTGGTCCCAGCTACTTGGGAGGCAGAGGCAGGAGACTCGCTTGAGCCCAGGAGTTGGAGGTTGCTGTGAGCTGTAATGCCACGGCACTCTACCCAGGGGGACAGCTTGAGGCTGTCTCAAAAAAAAAAACAAACTCTTAGGCAGCAATTTAAAAAATGAATAAGAAATAATAATTCCAGCAGGTTTAACTGTGTGGGCTGATAGTTGTGTGAATATGTTAATAATTTGAGAAAAATACGTATCGCACACATAGGTGAGTTACTAGAGAATTCACACTCCTGTATAATTTTTTTTTTTTGCACTTTTTGGCTGGGGCCGGGTTTAAACCCACCACCTCCAGTATATGGAGCTGGCGCCCTACTCCTTTGAGCCACAGCTACCGCCCCTCCTGTATAATCTTCATGTGTGGTTTTGGGTCTTATTGATGTCTCTATAACAAATTTGTTCTCCTTTAAGTCATAGAGTATGAAAATTTTGAAGGTTCTTTTGGACTTTTGTATGTTTATGGTTAAGACACATTTTACAAAATAATTCAAATTCCCAAGGCAAAGGGGCTAGTGGACACTGGGCACCTTAGCCTAATATTCCCACCAGGACCGCAGCCGTGAGTGAAGAAGGGGTAGGACTAAGGGAAATCCTATTCCATTCGTAGAAGGAGGACGCTGGACCTGACAGACCCGTTGAAGCACCATTAAGCAATGACAGGGGCCAGCACGGCACAGAACCTCATTTGAGGGAAGAAGAATCAGAGGCTCAAGGTTGTGTGAACACAAGTGGAGGCGTCGGCTTCTGCCCCAGCTCCTGGAGGTTGTAATGCCCACTTACTGGCCTCCTGTCCTCACCAAGGGCTACATTGTGCACACTTGGGTACTCCCGTAATGGTCATACAGGACACAAACCATTCCCCATCTCACAGATGAGAAATTGGCCTCAGAGAGCATATTGGCCTTAGATCTAACACCGAGCCCGCAGTACTGGGTCCTCAGCTCTTCCAGAAAGGGATTTTGGGGAGCGTGTGCACCCCAACATCCATAGGCTACGCTCATGGTGGACCCCAGGAGAGTCTGCAGCCAGCTCAGGGCCCAGCCAGCTTGCACTTCCTGATGGGGGCATGCAAGCTGGGGGCAGTGAGACCTGCATAGGGTTCCCCAGCCTCACCTACACAGCAAGAAGCAGCCCACTCCCCATCCCTCTAGGCCTGGGGCAGTGACAGGTCTGCCACGCTTTCAGGGCACCCTTGCTGTGTTTTTTGTTTCACTGGTTTATAGCATGTGTGCCTTGGAATCTAGAAGTTTCTGTGTCCCATGGCCTTTGGAGCTCAGATTTTAGGCTGGAAAACAAGACCGCAAGTTGAAGCCTCCTTTCTGTCAAGACTGTCAGCTTGCTTATCTGTCTTTCCAGCACACCGTCCTCCTTCTGGGGACACCACCCCCATTTCACTGAGGACCTGCCCCTTCCCACGCACAGCACTTAATACACTAACCCCCACGAGAGGCAGGCCCAGGCAGGCCCCCAGGGGTCGTGGGACACACACCCCGCATTCCCCGGGAAGATCTGACTCCTCAGATGCCAGATGCAGGGCTCCTGTCCCTCAGAGGGCACCTGCCGGATCACTCAGCACAGTTCTCATCATCGCGATCCCGCACCTGGGCTTCCCTACGCCCCGCCTGGGTGGTGCTGAGAACGCCACGCAGGAAAGTGGGCGTTGCCTCTCGGGACCGTCCCCTCCCCTGGCAGCAGTGATTGGCCCAGGGATGAGCCCCTTGAGTCAAGCTTGACCAAAGAAAGCCGAAGTGTTATTTCTGGGCGCTATATTAAGATCATCTTTTTCTCCATCGGGTCTCCTCTGAGCCTGCCTGAGAAGAGTACCAATAGGGAAGTAAAGCCAGGGCGGCGAGAACGCGGGGCCTCCGCCAATGCTGCAGCTCCTGCGTGCTGCCCTGCCTGAGGCAGATCAACCCCTGGACTAACAAACCTTTTCTGTTGTTGTTAAATTAACTGGATTTAAATTTCTGTCACTTGGTTCCAAGATTCCTGAGTACTAACAGACAAGTAAAAAGTGACTTGGTTGAGCGAGAATAAACAGAAGGGGAGGAGCTGGAGGGTCCCCAGGATTGCGTGTTATGACTCAGACTTGTCCTCAGAGAAGTTCTGCCCAGTTGAACTTTCAAAGGGGTCTCCTGGAGGAATGGCCCTCCCTAGACTGTGCCCAGTGGAGTGCTGGCCGGCGGGCAGCAGTGGGCTTTCTGGGCCTGGGTGCTGGGTCAAGAGCGTGATCTGTGGTGTTTGCCACTTTCCATGGTGTAAATACTCCCAAAGGCCAAGTTTAAGCTTCCAAGGTGAAGTCAGCAATGGGGGAGCTGGAAAGAGATTTGCATAGAGGCTCCGCAGAGTGGGTACGAGCCAGCTCCCAGCCCTGTGTCCCTGCCCTCCTCCCTCTCATCTCTGCAACCTCTGATCTCACTTCTGCTCAAAGTGGGGAACTCACTGCATGCCTCAAGCCTTCTTTTGGGGTGGACGTGGCAGAATCCCAACCCAAAGCAGCTCAAAGAGGAGGGAGGTTTCTTGGCTCAGATCCTAACACATCCAGGGTATGGCTGGGTCCTGGGGTACACCCCTGAGCAAGG